CCCCCCCACACACACACATCAGGTTCTATCTTTAAATCTTCACTGCAGCGCGGCAGAGGGTGAGAGGCGGAGCAGGTCTGGATGGACGTGGACTACAGATACAGAGTCCCTTCCATCCTCTGAATGCAATGGTCAGCCCTAGATCCTGCCCCACCCTGGAGTAGCACCGTGCCTTTCCATGATGCCATCGGCCAGCTTGTATACCCGCACCATGGAAATGCATGGCACTGTGCGATAATAGGGGGGCAAACCGCGTCCCATATTGAATCAATACAATTGGGGACAATTCCATATTGTACAGGACGGATGGCAACCCCAACGCACGTTGTCACTGGTTGTTATCATTTACAGACATCACATGTCTGTCACAGAACCATATCAATGAGTGTTGGTTTCCGGACCTGTAGAGTGATATATTTCCAGGTTTGTCATGTAGCCACTTTGCAGCCCGTTATCTGGGTTGTCAGACATGTTGGACCTGACACTTGGGGGTCCCAGAACAATGACACACTGACACTTGGGGGTCCAGAACAATGACACACTGACACTTGGGGGTCCCAGAACAATGACACACTGACACTTGGGGGTCCCAGAACAATGACACACTGACACTTGGGGGTCCCAGAACAACGGCACGCTGACACTTGGGGGTCCCAGAACAATGACACACTGACACTTGGGGATCCAGAACAATGACACACTGACACTTGGGGGTCCAGAACAATGACACGCTGACACTTGGGGCCCCAGAACAATGACACGCTGACACTTGGGCGTCCAGAACAATGACACACTGGCACTTGGGGGTCTCAGAACAATGACACACTGACACTTGGGGCCCCAGAACAATGACACTGACACTTGGGGGTCCCAGAACAATGACACACTGACACTTGAGGGTCCCAGAACAATGACACACTGACACTTGAGGGTCCCAGAACAATGACACACTGACACTTGAGGGTCCCAGAACAATGACACACTGACACTTGAGGGTCCCAGAACAATGACACACTGACACTTGAGGGTCCCAGAACAATGACACACTGACACTTGAGGGTCCCAGAACAATGACACACTGACACTTGAGGGTCCCAGAACAATGACACACTGACACTTGAGGGTCCCAGAACAATGACACACTGACACTTGAGGGTCCCAGAACAATGACACACTGACACTTGAGGGTCCCAGAACAATGACACACTGACACTTGAGGGTCCCAGAACAATGACACACTGACACTTGAGGGTCCCAGAACAATGACACACTGACACTTGGGGGTCCCGACACACCTCATGTTCCTTTTATCAGAGCAGTAAACTTGTGATTCCTCCCCCGGCAGGGATTCAGAGGTTCCTGAGGGAGACGGTGAAGAGCTGCACCAGCCGAGGCTTCGTACAGACCATCATGGGACGCCGCAGATACCTGCCTGCCATCAAAGACTCGAATCACCACGCCAGGGCTCATGTAGGTACAGCTCGGGGAACCCCCACAGACTCTCTGAGATGTAAATCATTATCATATAGCCAAAGAATTTACTTTGGAGATCAAAAATGTGAACATCTCGGCGTACATACAACGGGTGGGCGGGGCATAGGTATGGCCCTGACAATGATTGACAAGCTAGCGCCTTGTAACGCCACATTAGCCTCCGATCATAGACACGCCCACTATGACATAATCACGCCCCGATCTGATACCATGTGATGGAAAGGGCGACCATGCAGCCATTTCTATGGTGGTGAAGCCGCGTTGTCACCCTGTGAAAGGAAGTGGAGCTGCGGTTCATGGGATGCCGGATTCATAATGGACGCGGCTGCCATGTTTAGTGTCGGATCTTCAGGTCGGGGTAGATTCCCGGCTCTGATTTGTAGTTCAGGATTGCTCATCACTCATTGCAATGAATGGAGGGAAGTGGTGATTGGGTCCTATTGTGGGATTTCAGGGGCCCTTTCCACCCTCGCGGAGCCCGGTGGTGGGCGGACTAGCCGGGTGTGTGATGTGAATGGAGGTTTAATATGAAATGTGTTTATTCCTCATGTCAGGCGGAGCGGCAGGCGGTGAACACGACGGTCCAGGGATCGGCCGCCGACATTGTGAAAACCGCCACCGTGAGCATCCAGAGACGCCTGGAAGCCGCTTTTCCTTCTGTACCCAAATCGCACGGACACCGCGTGCCACCGCGGAACGCAGGTAGGAGGAGCGTGGGGAGTTCCGGGAGGGATGAGGAGGCGGGACAGTCCGTGTGACAGGAACACAAATGGCTGATGTACAAACAATGGGGGGGGGAGGAGCTGTCCAGAGCAATCATTCGGTTTCAGATACAACGCGGGATTTGTTTGCCGGCCGCGGTTTTCAAGTTCCAAATTGTCACCGAAACTGACAGCAAAGCCCATTGGTGAACTTTACTGCTGGACCGGCATCCTGCAAGATATGTTCTGCCCCTTTTAATGGCGGCTCCGTCAGATATCAATTTCTACACGGGGGATAATAGTTTACATTAGCCCCTCCCCCGTTACCTACCTCCATCTTTGGGGTCCCAGCACAATGACACACTGACACTTGGGGGGTCCAGCAACAATGACATACTGACACTGGGGGGGTCCAAGAACATTGACATACTGACACTGGGGGGTCCCAGAACAATGACACACTGACACTTGGGGGTCCAGAACAATGACACACTGACACTTGGGGGGCCAGAACAATGACACACTGACACTTGGGGGTCCAGAACAATGACAC